AGAAGCTGCCAGCCTCGTTAGCTGAGCCAGGCAGTGCTGCAGAAGACAGTAGCCCATCTGGTGCTCTCTTCTTCGAGGGTCCTCTGTGCTTCGAAGGTGTATTTGTGTTATGGGAGGTGGATGAGTTAGCAGCAAAACTTCCTCCCTCACACGTAAAACAAGAGACTCAGGAGTCCGAGTGTCTTTTCCTGAGCAAGGCTGAAAGCAAGAGTAAATGCTGTTTTCTTTTCTGTAGGAAAATGAGATTATAACCTTCATGCTAAATAGTTTAAGATATTCTGATCTATAGCAAAGCAGAACTCTCCTAAAGAAAAAAACCCTGGTTGGAAAACTGTTTGTTGATGTGGCCTGTCCCGTGCTCGGGGAGCTAAGGCTCAGACCCCATCTACCTTTACTTGTTTTGGGTTAGCCTTGGAGCGTGACCTGCGTGTGTAACTCCGGTTGTTTCTGTTCTTGTTTTCAGTTCAAGCGGCTGCAAGGCAAGCGGAATCGAGGGAGGGAAGAGATCAACTTTGTGGATATCAAAGGTGACGATCAGCTGAGTGGAGCCCAGCAGTGGCTGACCAAATCCTTAACAGAGGAGAAGACCATGAAATCCTTCAGCAAGGTACGGGCGGGAAGGGAGGAACGCTGGCTGGGAGCTTGGAGACTTCTGTTCGCTTCCTGTTTTGGCCAAAGCTGGAGCTGTATGAGATGCTATGCAGTCACCAGGGTGGGGGGACAGGGACCCTTACGTGGGGTGTTGTATAAATGAGAGACGCAGTAGAGCTTCTCAAAACACAGTCCTAGTGCGCAGGTGGTAAAGACCACCCAGAAACTGCTTCAGCCTAAGGAATCTGCCCAGGGCTGTTTAATACAAAACAAGTGCTTCTTGAATGGCTTTGTGCAAGCTCTTGTCTTGTTTCGCTGTCTGGGTCGGTATTTCCAGGCTTAACACATGACCTGTTTTTGCTTTCTAGAAAAAAGGAGATCAGCCCACAGGACAGCAGAGGAGAAAACACCAGATCACTTACCTGATCCATCAGGTGAGTGACCTCCTGCTAGCGTGGAAACCGATCCGGGCAGAATTACGAGGTTTGATGCTTGGCAGCATGAAGCAGAGCTGCTTTTTCAGCAGGTGGGGACCAGGGGCTGTCCCTGACTGAGAGTGTCGCGAGCCCCAGGTGAGACCCGCAGCGGCCCTGGAGAGGATGGAGGTGGCCATGGTGTGGAAACATCCTGGCTGCCTCCCGCCGGCCCAAACAGCCTTGTGGCAGCAGCGCCTTGGCCCTGAGAGTGTCACAGTGCTGAGCTTCTGCCCTGCTTTTTGCTTTGCTTTGCTCTTCCCCTCCCGCCCAGCTTCGGTGCGTGCATGGTCATTATGTGTTACGAGACTCTCTGCTTCCCGTCTTAATGCCGCACCGCTGCCCTGTGGTTAGTAAGCGGCTGCCGAGACCGTCCCATAAGAGAAGTTGTGTTTCAGCGTGAATGAAATGCCTCTGCATCCCGATTAATTCAGGCCACTGTCAAGATAATTGTGCTAACTCCTGTAACGAGGCATCTCGCTGAAGTGCTCTGTAATCCCCGTCAGCAGGGGCAGCGGAGGGTGAAATACTGCTGAGTCAGTGAGCGTTAACGCTGATGTTAATCCTCTTGATTTCTGCAGGCGAAGGAAAGAGAACTGGAACTGAAAAACACATGGTCTGAAAACAAGCTCAGCCGACGTCAGACTCAAGCCAAATACGGATTCTAACACCTCTGTCCCGCTTTTTGGCTGTCGTCCCAGGTGACCTACTGTGTCAGACTTCTCCTGGCCTTCTGGAGATCAACCAGGTCCCGCGTAGAACGTGGTCGGCTCGGCAGGTGGGAGGATACTGCGCTCCCCTGCCTGTCAGGAGAAAGGTTTAATGCAAGCCGGTCCTGAAACTCCACCTGTAATCTTTTCCCCTCCCTCCTTATAAACGATAATGTGGAAGGTTTAAACCAAGTCCGTTTTGTACGACCGATGACGGTCCCAGGGCAGCTGCAGGAAATGTACCCGCTGCAAGGCTTGGAGCTTTTGTCCTGTAGGTACAGGGGCTACTCCTCCTTCGACGTAGCCTCACCACTGGAACCTTAGGCAGAGTCTAAATAAACTTCCAATTCCCACTTTGCTCCTTTCTTGGACTCGCTGTGCGTTGAGAGTGTAATTTTTTTTTTTCTGAAAGACAGTGAGTTTCAAGAGCAAGCCTGGCTTTTTCTTTTTTTTTTTTAATTTTGTTCCTTTTATTTGAGACGTCCTCATGGCTGCTTACTCATGTCTGAGTAAATCCAGTGCTCCTCTCATGCAAATGAGTTTGATATCTCTTTTTTTTTTAAGCGTGGCTGAGTTAGTGGTTTTGTTCTCAGCTCCGCCAGCCTGTATCTCTCAAACCATACTGAGGGGAAAACTCCTTTACAGGTCAGAGCTTGCAATAGAGACGAAAACGCCCTGAGTGTGGAACGCACAAAACCAATGAGGATCTCTCGCCCAGCACGAAGCGCTGCTGAGGGCTTTTTGGATAAACATGATCAATATGTGTATGTACATTTTTCTTTTTATTCCCCCCCCTCTTTCCTCCTCCCTGTGACCCGAGGCCTGCGGTTCCGTACCAGGCTGCTCTCCAGACTTGTTGAACCGAGTATTCCCAGCGTCACACGGTGCAGCGAGCTCGGCAAGCGAAGCAGCAGTATTTCCTCTGAGATAAAAGCTGCCAACTGTACATTTTTATTTTGATTTTTTTTTTCCCAGCTTGTTTGTATCAATTCTGTTTCAGTTAATGTTAACTTTACCCTCCTGGCTGGGAAAAGGAAACTATATCCGGCCTTAACTTTTTAAAATGAAATCTTTCTTTTATTTAAGGTATTAGGTCTAGGCGATACGACTGCAAATCATGTGCAGCCTTGCTGGCCAGATCCACGTGTCTTTACCCAAATCTCTGTGGCCTCACTTTAAGTTTGTTCTTCACCAAAGCGTGTGATGCTGAAGGAAACAGAGAGCTGGTCTGATTATTTAACTTACATTCCCACCACTACAGGTTATATTTGTTGTAACTGCGGCTAAAACAGCTAATATTTGTTACTGCATTTAGAAAAACTCCCAAGAGGTTGTTTTTCTCCCGTGTTACCTGTTAAAAACAAGCAAACAACCCCCCATGAACGAAGTCTTTTCTTAGAATATTTTAAAATAATCTGATTTCTAGTTTAGTTCCCTGGATGTTTTAGTACTTTGCAGAGCCCGTTTTGAGTATTTGAATGACCAGAATAAAGTTACTGTTGAGTAATTTATTCATATCTTATATGTACAGCGAAATCCTCCGAAAAGAGATTTGATAAAGGAATAAACTTTTAAATGAACTGAACCACACCTGTTTCCATCACGAGGTGCTCGACTCCTTGCTCGAGGCATTGATTTTCCTTCTCCCCTTCCCGGGAAGGTTGAAGCGCCTTTGCCGTAGCCCATATTTTGGGGAGCCACTGCCTCGATTTACTCGCAGAGCGGATGCTGTTGCGCAGCCGGTGACGAAACGTTTGTCTGAGGGAGTTTGCGAACACCAGCAGCGGGTTGTGCTCGCCGCCCTGGATTCATCCTTTTTAAAACTCCGAGCCTTGCCCTCGGAGCATGGCACGGCAGATCCTGGCAGCGCTGGAGGGCTTTGCTGTAGGGTTGAAGGCAGAGCAGCTGCTGCGGGGCGAGAAGCTCCAACCTCTGACAGACCCCGTGTTCCCAAACTCTCCTTCGGGGGCCGTGCTGGGATTGTGGAGTGCTGGAGCTCATGGATTCCCCTTTTCTTTTTCCATTTCAGTGTGTTATGGCTCATTTTTAGCACTAGAGGGGAGTTCTGAGGATGGGAATCGCAGCTGACTTTGCTTTTAGCCATTTAAGAGCAACAAAATGTAGGCTTGTGAAAAGCGAAAGCGATTTTTCTGAGAGGTAAAAGAAAACAACCCCGCAGCCCTCCTTTTCCCTCCCTGTCTTGAAGCTCCAACACATCCGAGCATGGGGCTTCGGCTGTCCCCGTACGCGTTCTGCTCCGTCTAAGGCTGGGCGCACCACGTCTGCTGTGGGAACGGCGTTGGCTCCGTGTTATTTCGGACAAAACGACGAGGCCAGGGGTTTTCCACGCCGCTGGGCAGCACTGCGGCCGGCACCGCCACAACCGGGCAGCCCTGGATCAGTGTCACCGACCCAGCAGCCAAATTTGGTCCTCGGGTTTGGCGCTATCCTGTGTTTTGTGGCTGAGGAAACAGGCAGGGCTTGGAAGTGTTGGCATCGGGCTTGTGGTGTTTGGTGTGGCCCTGCTTGCCTGGCTGCGGTGTCCCTCCGGCTTGTGGCCAATTTAATATTTGGATGCGCCAGCTGTGCCTGAAACCCATCTCTGTTTTTACTGTAATAGCCTTTTCCGCCCTCAGTCTATTAATAGAAATCCCTGAATGTGTTCAAAGATAAATTAAATCCATTCCCCTCTTAACTGTCTCGCAGGGCTTGGGAAGGTCCAAGGGCTTCCTTTCAGCGGTAAAAGAGCCCGAGAGCTGGGTCTTGTCTTAGACCTACCTGCGTGGATGGTTTAGAGTCATTCTCTAGAAAGCTGCTCGTAAATGTTCTCGGGGCCTTCCTGCCTTGCTGCAGCCGTCGCTTGCTTTGCGGCGCTCGTCCTCCGGCCGTAAACGGGATCATCGAACTCCAACGGAGGGTTTGTCGTGCCCTGGGGAAATCCGTAGGGAGAGGCGAAGGGAAACGGCCGTCAGATTGCGCTTTATCGGCCGGAGGTTTGATTTGAGAGCCGGGACCTGGTTAAAGTTGGGCCTTCATCTTCCCAGCCCTCAACGTTTCGGCTGTGAGTTGGGGACATGGAGCCCTGGACAGGGGACCCCCCTATTCTCCCCCTGTGACCCCGGCGTGGAGCAAACCCCGACCCACCAGACTCTACAGGAGAGTAGATGCCGAGATGTCGCCTTGGGACCAAGCTCTAGATCAACGAGCAGCTCTACAACATGACCCACTACAGGGAACGCACCTCCGCGGCCGGCCTGGAGGTTCCTCTCTCCTTCCCCTCTGCGGTGGGCGCTACCGGGAGCTGCCGCCTCTTGGAGGCCTGGCTGGACATGCTGCGGAAGAGCCGGCGGTGAGCGCGGGATTTGGGGGGAAGCGTGGAGAAGGCACCTTGACTTCTGGGGAGCGGAGCGGGCAGATCCTGCCGTGCCAGTGCCACCTCGGAGTAGATGTTCTCCTCGGTGTTGGGGCTTGAGCCCCGTCCCATGGCGTAGAAGGGGATGGGCTCTTCCAGCTCGTGGTAGGCGGAGGGGCTGGGTGCGATGCACTCGTGGGGCTCGGCGTAAGTGTGGAAGCGCATGAGCTGCTGGTACTTGGCATCGGGCGGTTCGGCGGGGACAACTTTGTTGTGCACCTGAGCGTAGGGAACTTCGGGAGCTGCTCCGCCGCCGAGGGGGCTGTGCGGCTCCTGTGCCGCGGCCAAGGAGCTGGCCTTGGCTGGGAGCAGTGGGGAGACTCTGGGAGGCTGTGGGAAAGACGAGACAGGTGGGAGGTGAGGGCTGGAAGTGGATCCGTGGTGGCTGGGGCTGCGTCGCTCTGCCTGGTGAGAGCTTTGGCCAAGCTGTGGCTCCTCTCCTTGGGAAAGCACCTCCATCTCCTCCCCTCTGCCCTGCCTTTACCTCCCTGGATGAGCCTCCCTCGGCGCTGGGCTCTGCCGGCAGCACGGGGGCTGTGGCTGCCTGTCTGGCTCCTGGGGATGCCCTGAACACGACGCCGTACGCCGGGAAGTTTGCTGGGGCTTCGCTCGATGGGGAACGCGCGGCATCGCTGCCGGCGGGGGTCTGCGTCCCTCCTCGGGGCTCATCTTCCTGCAACGAGAGGGGAGAGGTGCCGGCGGTGGGTTTGTGATCCGAGGCAGACCCAGCCGGGTGCTGGTCCCACCTTGTGTGTGCTGCCTGCGGTTCGGCTCATGGGATGTGGCACGACGTTCTGGGGCAGCTCCGGTGCCAACCCCGGCTTTTGTGATGCTTGGACTTCCCTTGGCTTTGATTTCCCCAGCTTGGGAAAATCCCCCTCTACGGCAGGAATGACTCTGGTTTTTTGGCTGCAGGGACTAACGAGGGGTCAAGTCCTCACCCGTCTGCACGGCACCGTCAGGAACTCGTGGTACGGCGTGACGGGGGCGGTGGCGTAATGCCACAGCAGGTCGGCCAGCTCGGCGTGGGCACTCCGCTCCCCCAGGATCACGTACCGCCCGTCCCGCAACTGGTCCAGGACGAAGTGCCGGCAGCGATCCCTGCCCCTGGGAGGAGATGGGATGGGGTCAGGACAGCGGACGGGAAGGGGACCGAGCGTGTCGGTCCCTCGGATGGGACCGGGGGTCCCTCACCTGTAGGACAGGACGAAGCCGACGGTGCTCTCGCTGAAGCGGACCAGGAAACAACCCAGGGGCTGACCCTGCAGCAGCTGCTCCGTCTCCCTGTGGGAAGGGGCCCAGAGCCGCTCACCCTCACCCTCTTCATGGGATCCAGGGGTCCAGCTCCTTATTTTGGAGCCCAAGGGTGGGGATGCTGAAGGGGCCACCCTGTTCCCCTTCTCCGCTCACCTCCGGCTGATGAAGCCATGGAACCAGGTTGGGAGCTCGCCCTCAACCTCCAACGTCCTGGCTTGTGTCTGCTCAAACCACAACCTTGTCTGGGCACGCAGGGC